GATGGAAATCTAGGAATTGATCCAGAAAAATATGACAAGGAAAAAATAGGTTTGAGCCTCAACCATCAAACTCACTACTGGGAATTGTTAAGTAGTTTATGTTAATGATTGTGTTTGCCGGTGACTTAAATGTATGCATGTGTGAAAATTCCTTTTTTTTCCTGTTTATTCCTCTTTATTTTAAAGTCTTCTTCCACGTTTTTTTTTTTTTATTAAAGTCTTCTTCAACTTTAGTTTTTTTTTTTTTTATTATTTCTGCTCCTCGTGAGCGGTGAGCTGCACGGCTGCATCCGTCGTTCCTGCAGCCGTTCTTTACTCTCTGTGCACAGTCCAGGACCGTCATCGTCATCGTCTGGTGACGTCTCTGGGAAACTGTCCAGTCAATGAAAACACACTCAAAGCTTCACGCTGCTGTTCTGATGTTTTTGACAAACCGAGCTAATCCTCGCAGCGTGACATTGAAGCGTCCTCATCTCATTTCTACGGACGGGGAGTGTGGCCCTGGTTGAGGAGAAGACGTCAGCTCTACTCTTTTATAGATGAAGAGTGGAGCGCTCTCAGGTTTAGAGAGGCCGTGTGACATGAGAACAAAGACGTTGGCCGGAAAGCAACATGACAGGAAGGGGATGAAAAATGAATGGAGCTGCAAAAAAGAAAAAAAAATAGGAGCGGTGAATCCTGGGGGAGGAATGGAAGTCGGAGAGAGAACAGATTGAGGTGTAGATCTATGTTTAAATCAGTCCTCTCTCTCTCTCTCTCCCTCCGTCTGTTGGGCTGCAGTCCTTCAGTACACAGTGGCTTCACTCACATGTCTTTCTTCTCCGTCGCCTCCTCCTCCAGCAGCTCTGCTCACAAAACAAAGAGAGAAGAAGAGCAAACGTGAAGTTGGACCAGCGGCTGCCACTGTTTTGTTTTTTTATATCATGAACTCTGTCAACCCACAGGAGTTAAGTTTGGATCTGCTAAAAGCCAAAGTGCCAAATCAGAAAGGCATCACATGACACCACGTCCTCATCGTAAACACAGTCTCTGAGGTGGACAGCTGGACTGGCTTGGCTTCTCGAAGACACGTCAACTCACCAGGTTGACTGAGAACCTGTGTAGATGAGTGAGAAAAAGTCCAGGGTTTCAAATGGAATTTCAAAAGTCCCCAAATCCCATTCCTTGTTAGTCAGAAAGAGCGTTCAACGTACACTTTAACCACGAAACCACTTAACGACTTCAACCTTCGTGATTCCTGACGGAGGTCGGAGCCCAGAGCGATCCTTCTCCTGACTGTGATTATTCCTTCTAATCTGACTCTCAGTTTTCCACGTAGAGTTGATGTGTTGATCTGTCTGACCGAGGTCTACGCTCTAAAATATTTCTGTAGGAACTTTTACTAAATTATTTGAACTGATTGGACAGACTCCTTGTGATCTTCTCCTCTTCATCGTTTCGTCAGCCTGTCTCACTGTGTCCCCCTCGTCTTAGAAATGCTCTCATCAACTTTTTGTCCTCGTCCCTCGGGTTACAGTGAAGGCACCACACTGCCACACCATGGCAGGCCTGTCACTCCACCTGAATTTGGCCTCATGGGAATGTCGGCGTTTTGTCGCTCCCTGTCATTTTCCTCCCGCTTTCTATTTCTGCTCATCACTCTCCGACTGTCACTGCACATTAGAACAGGACGGAGGGAAAATGGAAGCATTTACTGTGATGTTGAGCCAAACTCGGCCTGGTCTGTTGGTCACTGAGACCCAGATGTTCTGTGTTTTTTTCCGCTCGACCTCGACCCCCATTTTCTCTGACTGAAGGATTTCGTCGTTTGCCTGCTATCGTCATTACAGCTGTCTTTGTATAAAAAGTCACCCCCAGCCTCACCCCCCGCTGCGGGGTCTAATTCCCCACGGTGACACTGTATGTGCCGCGATCCCTCTTTGTCTGTAACCTACTCAGCTTTCGCTCTTCTTCAGTCCAACATTACACAAAGAGCTAATCCCTGTCCACAGCTCATTAACTGACAATGGAAAAAAAGGCCTGATGTGAGGGGGGGGTACGTGTTGGGCAGAGGACCCAGTGTGAGCCAAGTTTGTGCAAAGAAAAACTGTAGTTTCTCACAGCTGTGAAGTACTGTGTGTTTCCATGATGTTAATTTGCGACAAACACCACTCTGGAGCAGATCAATGGCTGCTGGGAGTGTAACTGATTATTGATGGTTCTTAGCTCAGTCACAGGTTATAAGATATTATAATTAAAATCACAGTTGGTTTAATTAATAGTGGTGTATTTTACCACTTTCATGTAGATATAATATTTAGTATCTGAATTTTAGCATTTTATTTAGCATGAATCACACACTTGGGAGAATATTTTTGAGCATGAACTTGTATTTTTTAATTTTTGGCGGGATTTTTTTTCCTTTTTCAAAAACAATTAGGAAATATAGCAAAGATTTATTTCTGTAAACTATTTTATGATGATTTTTTTTAACCATTTTAGCAGGAATTATACAGTTCTGTACACATCTGGGGGCATTTTCTTCACTATATTTGGCATCTTATGACATGATACTTTAAACTGAATAATTTCAGGCTTTAATGTTAGTATTTTAAATGTATTTCTTATATATTTTGTGGAATACTGTACTGTACAAATACCTTGTAAGCGGCTCCCAACACCCAAAGAGTCAGAGCAGTCGTGTTCATGAAGTGCTTCAACAGAGTCTCTTCACTGAGACGCCATGGTAGATTTATATATTTTTTAGCTCTGCCTCTGAGTCATCGTCAGTGTGTGTGTGTGTCCCTTTGTGTGTTGGTGCGTACGTGTCAACTGAGGGGTAAGGCCTAAGTAAGTCAATCAGCCAGTCAGATATGAGCTGTCTCTTCACTGGAGCTCAGGGAGAATGTGACAGAACGGAGCAAAATGTGGGAAGAGTCTGTACCAGAGCGAGGCGGGCTGAGAGGTCACCTCAAGGTAAACACAGGAGGTTGGAAATGCAGAGTTTAAAAATATAATATAGTAATAATAAAGGTTCTTAACAAACACATTTGTTGAAGACGGATTAAACAAAGTAATAGTTTTTTTAAATTGTCCTTTAACTGAAATAATGTGAATTATGAGTCTCATTTTGTGCGGTGTTCATTCTGCATAAATTTGCGTGTTTTTGGTCTCGTCCTGTTTACGATTATTTGTGATTTTATGTCTCCCATCTGTCCTCGCTGTTGTTTGCGCGACTCTTTTTTTTTTTTTTTCCAGTTTTTTTTGGGTGAAATTTCAGTCAAAGGCTCTGAATCCACAGCGTCGAAACACATTTGACTTTTACTGCTGCAGCTAAAATGTTTACTACAAAACAAAATTGTGGCGAGACTCAGGAAAAACAAACTAAATTAGAGCTGAATAGAACTGCAGTGAGTCGAGGTCAGCGACACATTTTTACCCGCTCATGTCTGCCCCCTCTCTGTCTCCAGGTGAATTTGTTGTTTCAATTTTAGTAATTTATGACGATAAAAGGCCTCATTTTTTAAATTTTATTTATAATCGTTATTATTTATTATTATTTCTTCACTGCATATAATTTGCTTTTGTTCGTGCATGCGATTGTGAAAGACAGAACAATAAATTATCTTCCACTAGGTGGCAGCAGATGGCTTTTTTGGGGGTGGCAGGGCTAACGTCTCATGCTACCTGTACGCGAGGTTTCATTTTCTCACTCCGTGACACCAACCCTTCACTGAGTGGCTGTAATTGACCTCCTCTGCTCTACAGATGGAGCTCCACGTTCAGTCTGACCTCATTGTCTGTTAACACACTGACTGGAGTGGACTTGTCTAGAGTTACAATGGAAGTGTCTGGTTCCCCGACACTAATGTATGAGGTTGTCTCTGTTAGACTTCAAGTTGGTGACCTGAACTGATTCTGGTGTGTTTGAGGCCTCGTTACGAACTGAACAGATTCTGGTGTGTTTGAGGCCTCGTTACTACAGTGGATAAATAGAAAAAAAAATCATTCAACATTGAATGTCTTTATACGTATTAAAGGAACATAAACAGCTGTAATTATCTTTGGTCCAATTCTGTAGACGTAACAAGGCCAAATGACTTGATTTCCTGTGTATTTGCTTTTTTTATTCTTGTGGTAACCAGGCAGACTGAAACAGAGCTGTGACAAACTAGTGAAATTAAAAGAAAACACTCTAAATGCTAATTACCAGAATGTGAAGCTACACCGTCACACGAAGCCTCACGTAACTCCATCACCCGACGGATCACACTTCATCAGACTGTAGTTGGCTGTAACACACTCACTGACTCCATTAGACCTGAATTTTTATTCCTGTTAAATAAACAATCACATTTAGTCACAACTTTAAAAAGCAGGCTGGTCATGTGACATCAGATCTGTGATGTCACAGTTGAGGGTTGATTGGCTTAGACCAGTCTGGTGTTGTTTGTCAGTAAATGTGTGTGTTTTCTTCCACAGTATAGAGTGGAGTGTATTGTGCTGGACCTGGACTCTGACTCACGGTGTGACTCCTTTACACAGTTTAAATCGCACATTGATTCCATCGGCTTCACCTGTCCTTAATGACCCAGAGAAGGTCAGTCTGTAATGACACGACAGAAGCAGTGTGTCCAACACACACACACTCCCTCCCCTCCCAGCCCCCCCCCGTGTGGCCTCAGTAAAAATACACCACCGCTGTTAAGGTTTATCTCAGCTGTAATCACCGGTGTCTGACTGTCGTTATCGTTGTCATTGCTAATATAATCACTTCACAGCCCGGCAGAACCGAGACACACGTTGTCCTTTGTCGTTATAATTATCTTCATAATGGCGGCTAATGTAAGTGGATGGATATTTAAGGC